TGATTGGTTATGTGTATGTTGCAAAACTAATTCCTTGTTTTGATTCTTTCTACTTTTTGTTTAGAGTTAATGCTCCTTTTATGTCACAACATGCTTTGCTTTTTTAAATATTTCAAATTGGCACTGTGGGGGCTGCCTGTGAGTTGATAAACTGGGGTGTGATCCATTGCTGGTCTTGCAGAATTATTACTTCGTACCCTCTGATGGCCATTTTTCATATTTGGGGTTTTGGAGGGAAGCAAGCTAACTCCCTTACAAAACATGGTCCTTTGTGATCTTGTCTGGAAGAGGGTAGGACTTGGGTGAACTCTGACCTCTTGCTGTTGCTGCCACTGCTACTACAGACCTATTGCCTTCCTGCCCTGGGTGGAAGGAGAAGGTTCCCCACCTGGAAGCAGGTAAAAGTCCTAGGAGGTTAGGAGCCAGTGAGCAGCAGCACCTTGCATTACCAGAGTAAGCTGTGGAAGCTCTGACATTTCTATACTCAATCCTTTAAGAATTTGAGATTGTTTTCCTCTCCTTCAGGTTCAGGCAGGGGAGTCCAGGGCAGAAGGGTTGTCTCTGATGGGTGTCCGTCATTGTTTCTCTGTGATCTTACATGTCATAAATTTGTGTTTAGTGGCCAGCTTCAGATGCCCAGTCCCCCAGCCCAGCATAAAAAGGTTCCCAGTTTTGAGGTCTAGATAGGCAAAACCATCTGAAAGGGGTGACTTTAGCTTTCCCTCAAAAAACTGCATCTTCTTTGGGAAAGTTTCCTGTTATCAAAGTGATATGGCTGAAGATTTGGAAACAGCCCTCTCTGTTTCCTCGCTAAAAATTAAGTACAGGGCCGGGGATTTAACTCAGTGGTACCATGCCTGCCTTGCAAGCGCAAGGTCCTGAGTTTGATCCCTGCTACCAAAAAAAAAAAAAAAAAAAATTAGGTCCAGCTTTTTATAAAAGGAGATGAAGATGGAGTAGAGGAGAATTAGGAACATGTGGGTGGTGGATGGCAGGCTAAGTTCTGTAAAACCTTTTAGTGCTCGTGGCCTTAATGTTCACCCTATTGAAAGAGAGGACTAGGTTACCTGGGCCCCCAGGTACATTTGCAGGGAGACTTGTGAAATGTTGGACCTACAGGTGCTGTTCGATTTGACTTTGTACACATTCTCTCTGGAGTAGAAATGGAGACTGGAAAGGTCAAGTCTGGTTTTGCTGGGCAGCAGGGTGGCCCAGCAAAGCCAGCTGCACGTTCCCAAGCATAGATAGAGTGGCAAGGGCATGTCTAGCTTACTGACCATCTGCATTGAACTCATTCTCATTTTCTATATCTGACCTAAAATTTCTCTCGTTTCTTTTCTTCTCTTCACTTTTAAGCACAAACATAAACCATCCTTGCTACAGCCTAGAACAGTTAAGTAAACCTTTCTCACTGCCCCTAACTGTGTGTGCCATGAAGTCGCAGTGTTGTAGTGGCTCTGGGCTTCAGCGGTGTTTGCCACGGCCATCCCTGTGACAGTGCCACCCCTTTGTCCCCACAGACCGGTCATCTCCATTGCTTTTGCTTTGCCCGTGGTGCTTGTTGGAGTAAATGAATATATTGTGTCTTCCCGCCTTTTAACCACTGTCCTTTGGGCTGTAGCTCCCACCAGTTAGTTCCCCACTGGGGGTGGGCTGAACTTGATGTGAAAGAATGTTGGAGCTGCATCCTGCCAAAAAGCAGCTCACATTGGCTCTCCTGCCAGAATGTGCCTTGAGTGGCCCCAGGCACCTGGCTGGAGAGAAAAACGGCAAACTTTTGGCTGAACTTGAGAATGTCCTAACAAACCCCTTTCCAGAATGGCTTTAGTCTCAGTGCCTGCTAGCATGGGAGCTTTGTCTTGAATTCCTTTTGATCTGCCCTATTTCTCTCCAGCCTTAGGAATAAATCTAGAGGCTATTGTGCAATGACCTGTAGGCTTTTTAGAAGTCTTGAAATTTCCTTGAAGCTCATTGCAGCCCAGCATAAGCTACTTGCCAAGTCCTTGACCAGCTTACTACTTAGTTGTTAGTGAAAGCAGTTCATAGCTGGCCAGTGACTTGCTTTTGTAATGCTCCGTGGGAGCAGAAATAGCCAGACAGAGAGAGAAAGCCCTGAATCAGACACCTGTATTCCACCATTTTACACAGCACCCTGGCACCCTGTGCCAAGAAGAACTGGCCATGTGTCTGCCCTTAAGTATGACCTGGGCCAGGGACTGTTAACTCTTGGGAAAGCCAGAATGACATTGAGTCAGGCATAAAGAGGCAGTTACTTTTCAGTAGCAAGGCAGCCACAAGGTTACTCAAAGAGGGTTCTACATTAAACCAACATATTTTGTTGTTGCTTCCAGGGCAGCAGAAGAAGCCTTTATAAATGACATTGATGAGTCGTCCCCAGGCACAGAGTGGGAACGGGTGGCCCGGCTGTGTGACTTTAACCCCAAGTCCAGCAAGCAGGCCAAAGATGTCTCCCGTATGCGCTCAGTCCTCATCTCCCTCAAGCAGGCCCCCCTGGTGCACTGAAGAGCCACCCTTGGAAACACTACATCTGCAATACCTTAATCCTACTCAGTGAAGCTGTTCACAGTAATTGGATTAATTATGTTGAGTTCTTTTGGACCAAACGTTTTGTCTTTAGAGTTGATCATTGTTTGTGATTGCATGTTTACTTCAACTGTGTTCTCCCTGGCATTCAGAGGAGGGAGGAGGAGGAAGAGGAAGGGTGGAAGCTCCCAACAGTAGCCTCAACCTGTGCTTTTGTGCATTATTCTGAGAATAAATTTCTCTTTCAAAACAATATAAATGAAGCTTCTTCATTGACTTCAAGATGTGCTGTAGTTTGGAGTGAGGCTTAAAGGAATGAGCAATTCTCTTTTATCATTTCTAGGGCTGAGGAAGCACAGCCATTAGGCACCCACACCAACCTTAAACTAAAATAGTTCTAAGTCTCTCTTTTCTATAATAGAATTATGTAGAAATGTTCATTAGAAAAGGGAGTTGCAGGGCTGGGGATTTAGCTCAGTGGCACCACACCTGCCTCACAAGCGCAAGGTCCTATGTTCAATCCCTGGTACCGGGTTTAAAAAAAACACGAAAAGGGAGTTGCATGCTAAAAGTTAATTCCTTATCACCTACCTCTTAAGACATATCCCTCCCTGAAACCTTTTATCAACCTAGACATTTGTCACCACCACTTAGTTTTTTGGACAGTATATATTTCCACAGTAGTGTGTCTGGAGTATGTAGTCTAGAGTAAGACCTATAGTCATCCTTTGGATCAAGACAGTAAACCTGTCAGGATATCCCACTCAATTCCTGTAACATGTTGAGGGTCTGTGTCATCCCAAGTATCTAGTTCATATTTCTTTTGTAAAAACTTTCATGTAGATCTAGACTGCCCAATACAGTACTAAGCACAGTAGTTATTTCATTAAAAGTACATTATTAGCACTAGTCACACTCGCTGTGCTCATTAGCCACATGTAGGTAGGTGGTAGCTGAATCAGACAATGCAGATTATGGAGCATTTGCTCCTCCCAGAAAGCTCTGTTGGACTATGCTGATGACGTGTACAACAGGTGCTTCTAGGAGATGGTGTTCCGACACAATGATCACCTGTCCTCAGAACCTGATCTTTCTAGTTGATACTCCAAGCAAATAATAAAGCTGTCATTCAGTAACCTTTTGCATAGTTATCTGATGTTATTTCCATACTGGAGATTGAGGCAAATATCCCTCCACCGCTAATTATGTGTGGAGCTTATGTTACCATCCTGGCTTCTCAGGCTTTTCCTTGATCTAGCTCACTTCTTTGGCTGCTGTATTCATTCCTTTTGCTTTTGCTTTTTTGGTTTTTGAGACAGGGTCTTGCTATGTAGTTTGGGTCAGAAATCCTCCTGCCTTAGTCTTCAGAGTGCTGTGCCCCACCAGGCCTGGTACATTCCTCTTAATTGCACAGAAGCAGTAAAAGTCATTCACAAACTGTTACTAAAGGATCTACACAGTACCATTCAAGATGTCAAAATCTGAAGAACCAAGGCCATCTCCACGATGCCTTCTCTTATTCCTTCCCCTTATAGCCCATGACTCTCTGCCTGGCACAGCCTACTTGTTGGTACTGCTGTGGTACTATAATCTCAACCAGTCTCGCTTCCCTACCAGATAAACTTCGTGATGGGGGGATGTGGCAGTTGTAAAAGGTGAAATGTGACATCCAGATCAAGAGGTGACTATGCGTGAAAGTGATGCTCTGTGACTTCCAGTGAGTCATAAAAGGCAATGCAGCTTATAGCTGATTTGTTGGGCCAATCTCGCTGGTAGCCCTGAGCCATCATATAGAAAAACTAGCAGAGTGATGATGAGCCTTTTAGAGCTTTCAGTGATATAAACAGCCTGCTGCAGCACGTGGACCATAGGTTCACCACCACTGGGCTAGCATGTGAAGCTGCCACACTGTGAGGAAGCCAAACTAGCTTACACACAACCTGAGAACCTGTAACTTTCTGGGAGAAATGCCTGGCTAGTTCAGGGATATTCTGTCTGCTATTCTAGCTCCAGCTAAGTCCCTCTGAGCCAGATATTTTCCCAAATTCTGGACCCACAGAAACTATGAAAGAGAAAACAACTGTTCGCATATCTTTCAAATGTTGCACAGTAGTCATAACTTGGGATTGTTTTATTGCCTGCTTTACCAACCTATGGGCTGCATAAAAGGAGGAACCTAGTTGGTCCAGGGATTCAGTGGGCGCTTAACGTTTAGTTTCAAACCTCTTTTGGAGCATTTTACTTTTTTTAGGTCAAATTTTAAATGTTACATGATTACTTTCTATTAATAGGCTTTTGTTACTAAGAAAACGCTGATAGTAGATGCCTTAAGTTATATAATTTTTAAAAATGCAGTGCAATAATTAAATCTTTCTGGGAAGGGGAATGCTTAAGAACAACACAAAATGCAACAGTTAAAATTTCAGCAAGCAAATGTATTTGTTTTTTCTTTAGATTTTGGCTCAAAACAACAAAATATTTACATTAAAATAAATTAGAGAATGATTATTTAAACATAATTTATGTCAGAATATACTAGTCTTTCTATACATTTAATTAAACCTTAAGATTTGGTTTTTGATTCATTACCATCCATCCCTTCACCTATTTGGCATGAAACTTGGTAGCAGTGCAGTTGCTTGGGATACAGTGATAACAGGTTTCACCATGGGCCTATTGATGTCCCTGCATGACAGAGTTCACCTCACCCCAGACATTGGTGCCTGAGCTATCCTGGAATGTGGAACAAAAGCATGCCCTGCAGACTAAGGGCTGGCAGAGTTCCAGGACTCAGCTGTCGTGTCTTTCTGACATTAACCCACCAGGAAGGAAATCACTCAAATGCAATATTAATTGCTTTAATTTCATTTTTCTGTCAGCACTGAAATAATACATTCTAGAAACCTTCGGGCTTTTCTAAAAAAAGTTCTTCTTTGAAAAATATATTCATATCTTTTAGATCATCTACAAATACTCATAAAAACCTATCAAGAGCAAATACTGTACTGGCAAGATTTCAACAGTATGGAAGGAATATTTGATTAAATTCACAGCTGAGGAATGGGGTAAAAAATAAATTGAGTCATTTGCAAATCAGGTATTCTTATTAAAGCTTTTGTTAGCCTAAATTGAATGTATTAGCATTTTGAACATGTTTGTGAAATGAAGTGTTGTGTGGCTTAGCAGAAAAACGCATCAAACCCTCTCTGACTCGTCAGCCCCATAGCTGAGGGTATGTCATTTAAACACAGTAATCTTGAGTTCTATAAAATGAGAATTCAAATATCTATCTCAAACGTCATGAGAATTTAAGATAATGTATATGAAGCACCTAGTTCAGAGCCTGGTACACAGTAGGCACTTAATAAATGGTTACAGTTAATATTTCTTCTAGATTGCAATTAATAGAACTTTGACTTTTATGTTTTGCCATCAGTTAAAACAATCTTAGAATCCGGGTCCTCAGATTGGGGCTCTAGGTGTACTCACACATATACTACCTTCACAGACACTTGGGGGGCCCCAGTCCAAAGAAAATGAAAAGCTCCTAAAGGGAGAAGTGTCTGCTGTCAGGAGCAAAGACCCTTTGGGATAATCTTTCAGAGGCTCTAAATCCTAGTGGCTTATAAGCTGTCTCTAAGGACAAGGTCACTAAGGCCACTCTAATTCATAGCCCTAAAGTCTCTTACAGGTTCTGCTACAGTAATAACACCTTTCCTCAAAGACATTTGGGGGTGACAGATAATGTCCAATGTCTTGATTGCTGCAATGGTATCACAGGTAAATAAGTCAAAACTTACTAAATTGTATGCCTTAAAGATAATTCAATAAAGCTGTTTTTAAAAAGTACATAAGCCTTTCCTGTTAAGATTTTCTCCTGTTCCCTGACTGGATTTCCTTCTGTGATCAGAGTTGGGGGTTAGAGGAGGAAGGGCTGTTAACCAAAATGCACACATGAAGCTCGCATCCCAAGGCAGGCCTACAGGTCTCATGGTACCTTGGCAGGCAGAGTCCTAAGGCTTCTGGATCTACTACTGTGGCTCCTATTGGCTTAGAAGTTGTGAGTAGAACCTACAAGGTTTACACTTAAATGACTATTAGGAAAATATCCGAAAGCACAGAAAAGCAAAAGCACTCTCTGCCAACACTGCCTGCAGTTAAATAAATACTACATTTGCTTTTTAAGATATGTTCATCTAAAAAGAGAAGTTGATTCCACTAAGGCGCTCCTGAGTCTCGTCCATGTTCACCCCTGAGGCCTAGTGGATCCTGCGTGTTGTGTAGTCCAGCACCATGCTGGCAGCACCGAGTAGGGCGGGATCCACCAGATCCGAAACCACCACGTCCACATCCTGCACCGAAGACAAGGCTTGCTGGCAGATGATGTCTTTGACAATGTGGATATAGTGACTGGCCAGGACTCCAGACAGGATTACGAGGGAGGGGTTCATCGTGTGCAGGATGTTGACAACCCCAAGACCCAAAGCCGTTCCAGCTACAGAAAAAACAAACAGCTAAATCAAAAGGAAAGAACCAGTGGCCAGTAATGGTGAAGTATATTTATATTATATAGTGGGAAACATTTTATTTTTGCTAGGGACTGAACTTAGGATCACTCACACATGCTAGGCAAGTATTCTACCTATGAGCTCTATTCCTAGCCCAAGAAGCATTGTTTTAAAGGCTGTTCCTGATTTCTTTCTTTTTTTTTTTTAAGAGATGGGAGTCTATCACTCAGGCTGGTCTTGAACTACTAGGCTCAAGGGACCCTTCTGCCTCAGCACCTCCTCAGCACTTAGACTTACAAGCGCACACCATGATTTATTCTTGATATGAGAAAACTATCATGTGATTTTATTTTTTCAGACAACGTCTCACTATGTAACGTAGGCTGGCTTCAAACTTACTAGGTAGTCAGAGCTGGCCTCCAATTCTTGATCCTCTTCCTGCCTTAGCCTCTCAAGTGCTGGGATTACAGGCACCACTATGCCTAGTTTATGTGATGTCTTGAAGTGAAAAAATGTAGGGCCAGGCATGGTGTACCAGCCAGGTGTGCTGGATGCACCTATAATCTTTGCACTTGGGTGGCTGAGGCAGGAGAGTCTCTGTGAGTTCGAGGCCAACCTGGACTACATAGTCCAAGGCCAGCCTGAATTACATATCAAGACCGTCTCAAAAAACAAAAACAAAAAGCCTCTACTATACAATATAATCTCAGCTATGTAAAAAAATGAACAGAACAGAAAATTTTAATAGTTGATATTTCTGAATAGCAACTTTTAAGTGATATTTTTTATTACTGCTTACCTACATTTCTATAAATATTCTACAAAGTAGATGTATTTTCAATAGTTGTAAAATTAAGTCAAAGACCTGTTTTAAAAGGCAATGCTAATCAGCCATGGTGGTGCACACCTGCAATCCCTGCCTCTAGTCTGAGACCAGCCTGAATACAGTAAGACCCTGTCTCAAAAACTAAAGAGACAGAAAAAAAGGTCATATTGACAAATACCTTACACGCATTTCCATTTTTCTCTCAGTTCATGGGAAAAAAGCCTCTGAACAGACAATACAGAGTACCACACCCCGGAGAGACAGCCCTGATGCATCTGAGGCCACCCGCTGTGCACAGCTGCTGGAGCCACAGACTTACCTGTTCTCAAGATGCTCTGGGCCTTTGCATTGCCAAGTTTTGCAGCTTGGATGAGATGAAGTGCACTCACAGCTTCATCTTTTGGCACTGACATCCCTTCCACCAAGAGCAGGTCCTCTGAACCAAGTGAAAAGCAGTCATTAGTGCCTATTGGCACTGAGCCCTCTAAGTGAGAAGGCGTTTTCTTCTTATAATCACAAATCCACCCATCCACAAACGTACATGTGCATTGTCCCCAAAGCTTTTGCTGCCCTTCTGTTACTGGTTATACATAAGCCACAACTCTCCCAGCTGAAGGAACCTCTGACCTTAGACTATAGCCTCCTATTCCTCCGGCTCCTTCGCTTCCGTTTCCCCACACATCCCCCACATCTGGTGAGCAAACTCCGGGGCTCAGCTCCTTGCTCAGCCATCTCGGATAAGGGGCTGCACCACTTCCCAGTACCCATGTTCTGCGGCACCAAGGCATGGTGGCCAAGGGACAGACCATGCAGTTCTAGCTTTGCCACTGTTAGCTGCACGGACCTGGCCGTGTCACCTCACCACTATGTATTTCTCTTTTCTAGAAGACTAGAGCAGTTAATACCTAAAGTACTTACAGTGCTGGCCAAAGTAATGCTAAATAAATAGCAGGAGTTTGTATTAACCAGTCTTGGTCTGTCACTTGCCAACCCAGCTCAATGTGCCACTTTAATCTGCCATAGGGCTCTGAAGGAAGAAAGTCCCCAACTGCTACCTAAATACCACCTGATGCTCTCCTCTATTTTCTGGGCCTTGCAGCTTCCAGGTCTCCCCTCTTCTCCCTTACTGTTCTATCTTTGCCTTTTTACCCTCCAGATTTCCAGAGTTCTTACCTCAGTTAAGACACCACTAGGCGGCAAGGATTCCTGTACTCTTTGCCCCATGTATAAACACACTGGTATCTGCACATCCCTGCTCTTCTTGCCCCCTCTTGGGCCCTCTTGCTTTGTAGCCACCTCTCCCCACCTCTTCAGGGCCCTTACTGCAGGGATTCCACATCGGTCCTCTGCTGAGTGTCCACCTTCACTTCTATGCCCACTGTCTCCGTCCCATCAGCCTATCCTCACACATTGGTTTTGAAAGCAAAAAAATCTTAATTATGTAGAAAGCACAGATAATAGATACAGTCCATAAAGCAAACTGGATCCATGGTGTGAACATTTCATGGGAAAGAATGAGAGAGAAGACCATCTGAAGGGGTCTTTAGGTGATAATGAAAACAAAGTTCAGAAGTGAAATTTTAAGGGCACTAAATAATGTCCTGATGGCCAAAGCCTGTAAACTTTTCCAGTGTTCTTATACTTGACATAGCTAATGACACCTTCTCTGAAACACCCTCACTTCTTAAGCTTCTGTGATGTTTCTCCCTTTTATGGCTTTTCTCCCAACTCTATTCCTCAACTGTCCCACTCCCTGGGTCTGGGTCTCATTCACAGGCTTTATTACTATCTTTATTTTATTATTTGTTTGTTTGTTTGTTTTGGCTTTTTTGAGACAGGGTCTCGCTATGTAGTTCAGGCTGAACTTGAACTTACCATGTAGCCTAGGCTGGCCTCAAAGGACTGGTGAACCTCCTGCCTCAGCCTCCTGAGTGCTAAGAGCCAGGCATGTGCCACCACGTTCAGCCTATCGTCTTCATACTGTATGGGGAATCCCAAGTCCCCCTAGTCGTCAACTCTCTTGAGCTAAACACTCCTTTCCAGCTGTCTCCTTGGCCTTTCCTCCTGGATGTCCCACAGGCACCCAACCATCATCTTTCGCCTAAACCTACTCCTCCTCTTAACCTTCCCAACCCTGAGTTGTCCAGAAAATTGGAAGTCACTTTAGAACTATCCCGCTTACAGTCATCCTCCATTCAACTATGATTCCCACCCTAAGAAACAAAAAGTCAGTTAAATGAAGAATCTAAAATTCAGATCTATGTTTTTTCTCTAATATTTTTTAATGGTTCCTCTGACCTGCTGGCCCTGGTTCCCTCCCACCACACACTTTATGTTCCCTTTATGCAGCCACACCCTGAAGAACCCCATTAGCCATCCAGATTTGCCTGGCTAATCCATGAATCTGATGCTCACTCCCATAGGACACCCAGCATGCCCGTCTTGGTGGGGGGCACGGAAGAAAGTTCCACGTCCTTCCATGTATCTGTGTTCTTTGGCCATCGTTCTCAACACAATTGGCACACTGTGTTATAATGATATTGGCCCTTGTGCACTAGGTTAGAAACCATCCTTAACATGTCTATAAACACCTTTAATTCATGTAATCTCTGTGTTCAACCACTGTTAAAATGTTCATCCATTTATCTCTTTATTAAAATGTATATTTAGTACCCACTCTGCACTGATGGCTTAGAAAACAAAAATGAAAATCTCTCTACTGTGTTGGAGCTCTAGGCCCCTCACTGCACTACGCCAACTTTAATAATGGATCCTTTAATGGACCTCCTCCTGTTCTACTCTTCCACTCCTTCCATCCTGTGATTCAGGGTCACCTCCAAAAGAAAGTGCCTGTAGGTGATGCCTCGCTCTGCTTTGAGGGAAAGCCAGGAGAACACCTCTACCCTCAGAGACGGAGAATGTTAATCTGGGTCAGGACCAAGGATCCTGGAGGATCATTAGGAGGGAGCCCTGCTCCTGCTCTATGAAGTGAAAAGGTTAAAAATTCTGGCCTTGGTGTTCAGTTCTTTTTTTAGAACTTCTACTTTGAAGTACCTGTCTTTTATTTGGTCCTTTAATCCCTACGGAGAAGATACCAACCATCATGTAGCTTTTTTGCCTCCCTCTGCAAGGCCATTCCAGAGGCATAGGCTTCAATACACCCATGGCTCCCACAGGAACAATCGGGCCCGTCCAGAGACACGACAAGGTGGCCGAGTTCTGCAGCACAGAAGGAGCTTCCATGGATTAGCTCATGCTGATGGATGATTCCACCACCAATTCCTGTAGTGAGAGCCAATAATCACTGATGGGCATTTCGCATGGAACAAAACTATGATACAGCAGTACCTCATCTTTTTAGCAAAGCATCAAGTGTAAGGTTCTACATGATGCTTACTTTTCTAAGTTTACTAAGCCCAAAAGTTTTATTTGGCAGCATTTAGGAAGGAAAGTTTTAGCAGATCTTCTGATGCCTTGTGTCACATCTGCTGGGTTCACTATTCTCTCAGACAAGGCTGTGGCAGTAGTTCAGGGCATCTGACTCAGCCACTCTTGACGGGACACCCCTACAAGCACACACCAAGACCTACTACACTCAAGTGAGAGTCTTATCAGCCACACAGGCCACACACAGCCACGGGAGGCCAGCAGGTGCAAGCAGACAGTTCTCGATGGGGCTCCATAAGCTCTTCCAGAGATTCTAAGACATTACAGCCCTCACTGCCCTTGAAGCAACACTGATAATGCATAGCTTCCCTCCTATTCTGCCTATCTCCTGCTTCTCAGGATCACCTCCAAAAGAAAATATCTGTACCTAAGTCCTTGTATTAGCTTCTGCTTTGGGAGAAGGCTACAATGAAAGTCTTTATAAACTGGAAGAAGCGGTGCACATGTGATAATTCCAATACTCTGGGAGACCGAGGCAGAAGGATCGCCAAGTTAGAGCCCAGTGTGGGCAACTTAGTCAGACTGTCTTTTTTGTTTTTAAAGTATTTATTCAAGATTCTATTAGAGTATACAAAGAGCAGGGAAATAAAAAGGATCAAGTATGTATAATTACCAATACTCCATGATGAATATATATTTGTTATATATTGTAAACATACACTAAGGGAGACCGAGGCAGAAGGATCGCCAAGTTAGAGCCCAGTGTGGGCAACTTAGTCAGACTGTCTTTTTTGTTTTTAAAGTATTTATTCAAGATTCTATTAGAGTATACAAAGAGCAGGGAAATAAAAAGGATCAAGTATGTATAATTACCAATACTCCATGATGAATATATATTTGTTATATATTGTAAACATACACTAACAAAAGAGACTGTCTTATTAATAATAATAATGGCTAGGGATGTAGCTTAGTGTAAAAACTACAATCCCCAGTATTCCCCCCAAAACTAAAATGTTATCACATAGGACCTGCTTCTTGAAACAATATGAAATACAATTTTGCCTCTTCTTGATGCTGCCATGTCTAAAAATCTACCAATCAAATGTTAGAAATATAAATGACTGCTGCCTTGCCTTATGGAGTTTAGGGAGTTATTAAGGAGTGAAGGACATTTGATCTCAGAAGGCTCTGCTTTTAATTAAGAGTTCTCCTGCCACCCACCTATCTGATTTGCAGTTAACTGTTCTGACCAGGAAATGGTGTCCAAGCTTGCTAAAACTGTGTTCAAGCTAAAGAGGAAGTGTGTGAGTGAAAGTACGTAAGCGTAAAGGGGAAGTAGTATAATACAGATTCTAAGTATCCCCAAGTTTTAAAGTTAAATCTAGGGAAGGTTGGAGGGGCAGGGCAAGGGAATGGGGAAAAAATAAGAACCAAGATACATCGTGTAAAGGTACAAGTTCCCAATGATGAATGTTACTATTGTATATCTAAAATTTAATAAAATAAAATTAGGCATATCTAAGATGAAAATGCTGGCTCAACCACTTACTAGCTGAATCTGTGTCAGCATTTAAAATTTAAAGTATACGTCTTAACCATATACCACGAAAATAAAATTGAAAACAAAATGCATGCAAAAGCCAAATTAGGACATTTATGAAAATGACAGAGTAGGGGACTTCAAAAATTCATCTTGCCACTAAAACAGTGAACAAACTCACAAAATGGTCAGAATTAACTTTTTTGGAACCTAAAAAGGAACCAAAAGTTTGTAAAAACCAGGGTGGGAGGAGGGGCAGGAGAAAATAAAGAAAACCTGCTGAATCCCAGTAAGAGAGCTGTCTGGTGTTTTAATTTACCCTGGTCTCATCACCCATTCCCCAGCTTAGCAGTGACCTTGAACAACAGCCACATTTCCAGTACTGGTGTACAGATACCGGTACTGGACACCAGTAACTGAAAGCAGAATTGACATATTCACAGAAATGTGGGTAGCTGCTTTGATGTTCCTGGTTGCAAACCAGAGGAGCAGTTTAAAGCTTGCTTTTACACTCACCTAACTGGGAACTATCCCTCTGCTCAGGGGGAGTTGCACAGTGAGGGTTTGTAAAGAACATTTAAAGGTAAACATATTAGTCTCTGCTGCCTATAACAAAGCATAACAGTTGAGACATATAACAGACTAAGCAAAACTGGAAGGAAAAGCTGAGGAATGAGAAGCTCTGGGGAGTAAGAACTTTGACTAGCTCTGAAAGTTCCTGGGAATTTAGAAGTCCACAGGTATGCCTAAGGCTGGGTAGCACATGTTCAAAAAGACCTGAGGAGGCCTTAAGATCTGCATGTGGTTCACCTTAGGGCTCTACTCAAGCTGCAAGTGAAGCCTGAGGCAGAGTTGTAACTGCCTGAGTGAGGGGTGCAGCCTTGTGTCACACATTCTCGCTCCTGAAACAACCTTCCCTCCCCCCTCATACCCGTGCCGGTGATAAGTGTAACAAAGTTTTCCAGTCCCTTTCCTTGACCAAATTTCCTTTCTGCCATGGCGGCACAGTTGCCATCATTGTCAACCCACACAGGAAGATGCAAAGTGTCAGACAGGGGGGTCCTGAGGTCCACAGAGTTCCATTCTTGTATCAGTTTGGTTGAATGCAGCACAATTCCTTCCTGAGGATTTACACGGCCACCTGTGGAAATGCCTGAGATCCACCACAAACAAGGGAAATAATTCTGATTAGCAGTCTTAGGAACGCGACGCCACTTCCCTTAGCTCTGAACATAAATTAATGCACCCAACATCTCCTAACACAAACTTTACCAGGCACTGCCAGGAAACACCAGGCAGTTCTGATCTAAATCTGTAACTCCTCATTGATGTACAGAACTATCAAAGCTTCTCCCATGATGCCTGTTGGGGTTCCAGGAAGCCCCGTGCTTGTGGCCACAGACAGGACTTGCAGGAATCTATACACAGAGCAGAAGCAAAAGTGATGTTCAGTTAAGCAACAGAACTGAGTAGGCTGGGCCAGGGATTTAGCTTACTGGTGCCATGCCTGCCTTGCAAGCACAAGGTCCTGAGTTCTGTCCAGAACCAAAAAAAAAAAAAAAACTTATGGCTGTTACATTCAAATAAACATTTCTTGGATTTATAATTCACAATCTCACCTACTCCCAAAATTCTGCAGTTCAGTTTTACAGCCTCCGCTGCAGCTTCCACACACATCTGTAGGATTAAATTAATCCTCTCTTCATAAGTTTTGGGATTGAATTGAGTATACTTCTTAACTATTTCACCCTAAAGAGAAAAAAACAAACCTCTCACTGATCTTAGGTAAGGAGCATAATGTGACTCGTGATAAAGTAGACGCTGCTATGGGACAGGTGCTACAGAATGAGATGATGTCTGGGGAGGGAGCAACTGGAAAACCCGAGTAGTACCAGGGACTCCATCCTGACAGAGGATTCTTGAAACCATGACAACTACACAGCCAAGGAGATGGGCCCCTCTCATAAGCTTAATGTGAATGTCAAGTAATCTGAATCTAGTTTATTAAAAGGGCATACATAGTTCACTCTTTCTGGTTGACAAAATTTTGTTTAAATACTGAGGCAAAGCATCCTAAGTAGCTAAAATTTAAACAACTATAAATGGAAGCCAAGAATGCTATACTTATTTAGTCAGGATGAATTTCCATGCTGGCTAGCTCAAACACCACATCATTTAAATTACTGTGCTTTTGTAATATTTTAATACCAAATAGGGATAATCTCTCCTATTGCTTTTACATTTTTTCTTTGCTCATCTCATTTACTACTCTAAATAAGTTTCAGAAATGTCTTTCAACTTTTAAAACTCCCACTGTGGGCCAGGGATTTAGCCCAGTGGTTCCAGTGCCTGCCTTGCAAGTATAAGGTCCTGAGTTTGAACCCCAGATACCAAAAAAAAAAAAAAAAAAAAAAAAAAAAAAAGAATCCCACTGTGGGGCTGGAGATTTAACTCAGTGGTTCTGCCACCTGCTTTACAAGCGCAAGGTCCCAAGTTTGATCCCCAGTACCAATAAAAAAATAAGTAAATACATTTTTTTAAAAATTCCCACTGTGGTTTATGGTACTTTTGTTATACTTTCAAAATCCAGGGCCAGGGATTTGGCTCAGTGGTTCCGCCACCTGTCTTGCAAGCACAAGGGCCCGAGTTAGATCCCTGGAACCAAAAAAAAAAAAAAAAAAAAAAATGATGGCCAGGGATTTAGCTCAATGATTCCACTACCTGCCTCGCAAATGCAAGATCCCAAATTCAATCCCCAGTACCAAAAAAAAAAGAAGTAAATAAACCTAGTGCTTCTCAACCTTCACTGTACATCAGAAATAGCCTTTGACAAATACATATCAGTGCTTGGCACCCTTCCCCAGAGATTCCAAATTTAATTAATCTAAGGTAGGAACCAGGCATCAGTGTATGTGTTCTGGGGTTTGAACCCAAGGCCACAGCACTGAATACATCTCCAGTCATTATTTATTTTTTATTTATGTTCACTTTTTGGTAGTAGGGATGGAACCCAGAGGTACTGTACCACTGAGCTATATCCCCAGCTTTATTTTTAAAGATAGGGTCTCACTAAGTTGTTAAATTGCCCAGACTGGTTCCAATGTGCAATCCTCTGTCTCAGTCTCCCAGAATGCTAGGATTATAAGTTTGTGCCAACATGCAGGCCTGAATTTTTTTTTTTTTTTTTTTTAACAGGAGATCAAACGCAGGACCTTGCCCTTGCAAGGCAGGCAGCAGAACCACTGAGCTAAATTCTTGGCCCAGGCCTGAATTTTTTTAAAGCTTTCTGATAATGCTAATTGCAAGTAGGACTACCAAACACTCACCTAGAAGAAAACTCAAATCTTTGTCTATAATTTCATGTAAGTGGAAAGTTACTGTGCCTCATATATTTATCGTACTATCTAGCCATTTTAAAAACTATAAGCTACTTGATTATTGTCTATAAATAATGATTTTTACTGTTCCTTATTCCCTTTATAACTTTTAGAATAATGCTAAATAACATTCCAGAAAACATCTTTTTTCTTCTTGATTTCAATACAAATCCCTCTAAAATGCCACCATTACAAAGGATGATGGCCATTGATGGGAAATATATCATCTTTACATTGATAAAATATTCTGTTAACTTTTTAAAAATATTTATAAGGGAAGCCTTTTGGGGGGGGTGAAATGGCCTCTCTGTGTAGTTCAGGCTGGCCTCAAACTCACTATGTAACCCAGGCAGGCCTCAAACTCATGGCAATCCTCCTGCCTCAGCCTCCCAAGTACAGGAAGCCTTTTGACATAAGAAAATTATGTTTTATTTTCTTATTTGACATCATGATATTAACACAGTTCCTACACTTCATGCTATAAAATAAGATTCCTGAAACTTTATGTGTCTTCAATATTTCAAACAAATATTTTTCTGGTAGGTTTATTGTTCCTCATTAAGTCATTAAAAGATCTTTTTAATGTAAGTTTGTTACCTTTATGAAGGCTCTCTCAACCTGTTAATGCTATGGTGATGATTTGGTTAATATATTAAAAGTATGCTGTACTCAAGAAAGAGCAGAATTGTAAAAATGCAAAATGGAGAGAGAACCCATACAACTGACCATAGCCTAGAGAAGAGGCAATTTCTTTAACCAGCTGTGGACACTCACTTCGATGGTGAGAGTGATCAGCATGCTCCATACTCTACAGTTACACTAAATTCTCATAGTCTATGGAATTTCAGGTCTCCTGGGTGGCAAAAACTCTCTGGAATGCCTAATGGGGGGGTCTCCTCATTGACCATTCAAATCTGCTACCTCAGATTGCCTGAGAATTGGCTTCTTTGAAATGTTCATGATTAGTAAAAAGGTAAGACAAACACTGTGATGGATCTAAGTGTCATCGCTAAGGACAAATGATTATAAGGTCTTTTGTATGCTTCTAGTTCTGAGGTAGGAGAGAAGAAATAAAGATGGATTAAAAAGAAGACAAAATTAAAAAAGAAGACGAAATTGTAATATTAAAATCATACTTTTTAAGAAAAACTGCAGCGTCAAGACACAAAAGTTACTCGAGGGTTTATTCAGGTTTTTGGGTTTTTGTTTGCTTCCCGATTTGTGAAAAAATTCCTAAGTCTTAAAGACAAGAAGCCTGAAGACTAAGCTCTGGGCCTATCTATGCCTTTCATCAGTAAATTATGTTCCCCTCACCCTTAGGAAGCAACACTGTTAAGAACACAGCATATCTCAGCTTCAAACACATGTAAATGTTTTACATTTACCAGCTTGCCAAATGGGCAAAACCTGGCACAGTAGGGTACACATTCTAGATAATCCATCTTTGGGGCATCCTCCAATCCCTAGAAATATACCCAATTTGAGATCACAAGACACTCTCCCTCTTGAAGGCCCACAGTCTATTTCTTTGAATATGTATTTTTAAAACTCTGCCTAATAAATACTTTTATGCCTCCTACAGAAAATTCATTTTTTGTGATGGGAGTTAGTGAACCTACAACCTGCCCTATGGATAAAGTAAGTCAGGGTTTCCCAATTCCACATTGGGGACTTCCTTGAATTCTGCCTGTTGATAGTCCTACCTTCTAGCTATAAGTTTTAAAAATCAATTACTCACAAGGGGCTTAGCAGTGATTTTACCTTCATGCTGACTATTGCAACTCGGAGGTTTGTCCCTCCAAGATCAACAGCCAAGGCACTCAGAGTTTCAAGAATATGGTCAATATCTTGGGAGATATTCTCTTTTACAGGAGGAAAGCAGAACTTCTTTTGTAGTGGCTCTTGAAGATCAATAGATTTGAGAAACTTCAAAATCCTTGGAACAGCATTTCCATCCCCATATATCTTTGAACTGCAATATCCAAAAAGGACAATTAAATGCTTCTGCCATACATGTTAAGTTATATTATAGACATGATTTAATGAAATCTGAGCTCATATAAAAAGTGTTTATGTTCTGCTTTTTAAAATACCATCTCAAGGGCCGGGCATGGTGGCGCATGCCTGTAATCCCAGCACTCGGGAGGCTGAGGCAGGAGGATCGCTGCGAGTTTGAGACCAGCCTGGACTACATAGTGAGTTCCAGGTCAGTCTCAACTACATAGTGAGACTCTGTCTCAAAAAACAAAATACCATCTCAGCTGGGTGTGATAGCACACACCTGTAATCCTATCACAAGGAGGATTGAAAGTTTAAGGGCAACTTAGTGAGATCTTGCTTCAAAATAAAATATAAAAAGGGATGGAGATGTAGCTCAGTGAGAAGGACCTGGGCTCAATTCCCAGTATCACCATCCAAAACAAAGTATGTAACGTGTCCTCTCTGGGTTGGGGATAAGGCTCATTTGTAGAGCACTTATCTAACATCCACAAGTGCCTGGGTTCAATCCCCAGAACTTCAAAAAATAAATCAATGTCTCCACAATGTATATACTTCAAAACATAATGCACATAAATATGCACCAATAAAAAATGAAAAAATAAAAAAATTATGCACATAAAAAAAATCATGATGTGCAATTCTGTCCATCAGTTTAAAAAAACAGAAGTCATATCATATAAAATTACATAAAATATCTTAATCTCTTTAGCAACATAGTAACTGATTTTTTTTTTACCCTTTTAGAAGTTTTGTATTTACATTTCTGAGAAAACTTGTCAATTTGAAATAGAAAAGAGAGTAGTCAAAATTAATTAAAATGCTGAACTAGACTAGTTTTAAAAGAGTATCAGGGGTGGTACAGTCTAGCATGTCCGAAGGCCCCTGGGTTGAAATCCCAATACTAGAGAGAAAGAAAAAGGAGAAAAGAAAAGGAAATGAGTTATAAAATTTTTAATACTTCTAGAGAGTCAATTTAGGCTACAGAAGTATTTCCTAGCAGAAGTACTACATTACTTAACTGAAACAAATTAAAAAAAAAAAAAGACATTAGAATCATGGCAGAGTACTAAGGGGTATGGTATCTGCCACCCCGTCTCACCAGCAGCTAGGGAGCCCTAAGCATTAGAAGAAAGTTCCCAAGATGATTCAACATGATCTAGGGAGCTTTAAAATAGTACCTGAGGCACTGTCCTTTTAAATCACACTAAAAAAGAGGTCCTATACTCACCAAGGATACTGTTTACCAAACTGAAGATGCAGCGCTTGCAATATTTTGTCTTGGGTGTCAGCATCTCGGACATGAAGGACATTCTCCCCTGCGTAAATCCAGTGACACATTTCAATGATTTGGAAGCAGAAATATCCAAAGAACAAAGAAGTTAGCAGTGTGTTATGTTTATAATTTAGTCCTGAAACCCAGCAGACTGCTAAGCATTTTTGGTAAAATTTCCAAACACTTAAGGGCAAATCCCCAAAGGAATAAACCATGGTTTTGTTTACTGACATAAATAAAGTGGCTGAATCTTGCACCTGTGTACAACTTGCCTAGTTACCTACACCAAGTCCACCCTCTCGGCCGGCCAGCCAGTCTACAGCCAGTCAGCTGCCCAAGCAGTCACTTTTCCACACACATTTCCTGACCAACATGGGACAATGACTACAGAAAGGACAGCCATGACTGTCAATAGGCTTGGCCAAGAAGAGAGAGAGGAAGAATGGTGCTAAGAGAGAGACAAAAGATCACAGAAAGGTTGTTTTGTATTGTTTCTGAGACATGAGAGGCCTAAGCACGTTTAAATGATGATGAGGTTAAACATACATGGAAGAGAAAGCTTGACCGCTGGACAGGTCCCTGAGAAGGCAGATGGGATGGGGTCTGGAGCACAGGGAGGAGGCTGAGCTGTGGCAGGCAGAAGAGACACACATATCCCTCCCCAGTGCACTCTAAAGAAGGTAAGAAGGAAAGGAATCCTGGACTAGAAGCCACATTTATGTAAGTACAGGGGCAGAAAGTTTAGAGACCACATTGCCAAATCTAGGGTTCATTTCTCCTTTCATATCTTACTTGAATTCTCAGCAGCTTTCAATACTATTATCTTGAAACACTATTTTATTGGCTTTAATGATATCACACTCTCCCGGCTTTCCTCTGACCTCACCGGCAGTTCCTTTTCTATTTTCCTTGACAACCTTCCCTCTTCACCAGAGTGTTAAGGGCTCCAAAGGTTAGTCCAGGGCTCCATTCTCTGCCCTATTTATGTGCTCTCCCTGGGTAATTTCATGCAGTCCTTGGTTTTAAATACCGTCTATGGCTGCGCGCATTATCCTCAATATCTTTTTTTTTTGTGTGTGTGTATATATATACATATATATATATATACACACTAGTCATGGGTTTAGCTGGGCACCTGATCAGCCAAACAAAGACTCTATCCTCAGCTAGATGTGGCCTTGTGACTAAGTTCTGGTTGATGTGACAAAAAATATTTGCAACTTCCAAGTCCTGCCTTTGAAGGGAAGGGCATTGTTCCTTCCAAAAGGCTAAAGAGAGGTGAAGGGTCTGATGATTGTAGAGCTGCCATAACAGTAGAAATGTAAGATCTAATTTATTTAAACCACTGTTATTTTGAGTCTCTGATATAGCAGCTGAACTGATGTCCTCACTACGTACCATCTATACACCAATGGCTGTCAAAATTTCTATCTTTAACTCTCACTGAACTATCTAGCTGCCATCTAACAGATATGCCTAACTTAACATGGCTATAAGACAACTCTTAATTACATCCTGTCCCAAATCTGCTCCTGCTTCAGTGTCCCCATAATCAGGAAAGAATATCTCACCACTCAATATTAAAAACTGTTATTTTTTTTTTCTTTCTTTTTGGTAAGGGGATTGAACTTGGGACTTTGTGCTTGTGAGGTAGGTGACGGCACCACTGAGCTAAATCCCTGGCCCATTTCTTTCTTCCCTTTATAACCCACATCCAAACATCAGCAAACACTATAACAAAACCCAAATTTAAGTTTTCTCCATCACTAATACAACTTATCCTAAGCACTCATTTCAGCTCTTCATCTCTCATCTGAACAACTGAAACAGCCCTTAACTTGGTCTTCCTGAATCCCCTCTTGCCCTCTCATATTTTACTCTCTCCATAAGCAGCCAGAGTGATCTTTCCAAAGTGCAAATCATATCGCGTTATTCTCTCCCTTAAATGGCTTTCCATCATACTTGGAGAAAATTATAAACTTTGCAAGCCAATACCAGCTTACAGAAGTCAGCCTCCTTCCCTGCCTTTGGCCCACTACTTTACAGCCACACTAGCCCCTGTTTTTCAACTATATCAGCTTGCTCCTATGTTAGGGCCTTCACACTGCTGTTCTCTGTGCTTCTCCCCGAACCTTGCTGATGGGCTCTTGCTGAGCTTTCAGTGTGTTATCTCCTCAGCCCATCACATGCTTGTCATTCATGAAAGTATCAGTGATTAAAATTACTATTCCCTAACCCCTAATGGGAGTCTTTAGAGAGATTTCTTTAAGGGGGCGCACTTGCCATTCAAAATGGTTTCTTTGTCTTGTGTTTTGGAGCAAGGGATTTAACTCAGTGGTGCTGCCACCGGCATAGCAAGTGCAAGACTCTGAGTTTGATCCCTGGTACAAAAAAAAAAACCAAGTGTAACCATGTGTTACAGACTACATGGCAAATAGAAATCCTGGTATTTGTTTATAATCTATCTCCTCTCTCACTATAATATAAGTTACAAGAGACTTTAGCCCTTATTAGTCTAGTTTATTACCAAATCCCAGTGTCGAACAAATGATAGGTGCTTATTAAATATTTTAAAAAATTTCTATCTCATGGCTTCTATTTTCTCTATGAAATGGAGAGCAAAGTAATATTCTAGGAATGAGAAGATCTAAAGAAAACAGGAAGTGAAGGTGGCACTTCTGAAGAACGTAAGAAAGTTCAGAGCTGGAACTAGTCTCCTCCATTCTAGTCCAATTCTTTTTCCATTACAACATACAAGTTTCCATTAGCTACAGACATTTTCATGTAGATATTAGAACATGGACGAATGTTAATAATAGTACCTAGCTCAACACATTCATTGATGATACTACTAATTATACTTTAGTTATTAAGAAGCATCTTACTTATAATTGCTATTCTCTAAAGTACTGCCTGAAAGTATTCTATAGTAGGGCCAGAAAATGAAAGAGTAGCATTCATATACTTGTGAAACACTCAACCACAATCTCTCCCCCTCTTTTTATTTTTGTTTTTGAGTTAGGGTCTTGCGATGTAGTTCAGGCTGGCCTTGATTTCACTGTGTAGCCCAGGCTGGCCTCAAACTTGTGACAATCCTCAGTCTCCCAAGTGCTGGGATTATAGGAATGTGCCACCACGCCTGGCTAGAGACCATAATTTTTTAAAATGACCATAATTAACTAAGAAACACCTAGTTCTATTAGAAATGGAATAAAAACCTAAGAAGAGCTTTAGAAACTTTGCTAATCACTGTGTGCTATTTATAGACTATTTATAGATTTTTTAGGCTACTATTATTCACCTTATTCACTCACTAGTTCACAAAAATATATACCCTTCACTGGCATATGCAAACTTTTAAAAAATTATACAAATATAAAAAGCCTAGTCAGGAGAAATATAAGCAAAGGCAAACACCTGTTTCTCTTCCAATCTGACGTGTGCCCAGGTTGATCACAGGTGTTCCAAAAGCTCCAACCTCTCGTACCCCACAGCTGCTATTCCCAATCATACAACCAGCATGGGCAACCAGCTGTATAAACTGATCAAATGGTACGTGTTTAACTGCACGAAAATTGGGGTGATGCTCAATGCCCTTCTTCCGCATCACTCGAACCATCTCTTTGCTCCCTGTGAAAATGGAAAGAAACAACTGTTAAACAGCTCATGAGACAAACCATTTTGAATGGCAAGTGCGCCCCCTTAAAGAAATCTCTCTAAGGACTCCCCTTAGGGGTTAGGGAGTAGTAATTTTAATCACTGATACTTTCATGAATGACGAGCATCTAAAACTTGAGGCCAGCTCTCTGCTTCAATTCCTTTAGAAACTCAAACAGGAGCAGCGGCGGCTTTTCAAACAGAACCCAGTAAAAACCTTTACCTTAAACAACACTGAAGAAGCTAAAGACAGGCCTACAGTCTCCCTCGTTTAGGTGGAGAGCTAAAATAGAAATGTCTCGGGTCCACATCCCAAGCAACTCTGCTCACATCTACACCAACAATAGCTCAGCCAGACAGCACTCCCACCTACGCAGACTAAACTCCAGGAAAAGACATTTTGACATTGTGTATGACTATTTTATCTGTCATAGTTTTCTCAGTACTGAGGATTGAACCCAGCACTTCATATATGCTAGGCAGACTGATATTTTACTGTTTTTTGGGTTTTTTTTTTTTTTTTTTAGAAAGGGTCTCTCTATGCAGTTCAGGTTGGCCTTGAACTCACTATGTAGCCCAGACTAATCTCGAACTCATGGCAGTCCTCCTGCCTTGGCCTCCCGAGTGCTGGGACTACAGGTGTATGACACCACACTTGGCTTGATATTTTACTTTAAATGCCTGACTTAACTTTTTAAAAGATATATGGGGCTGAGGATTTAGCTCAGTGGTTCCGCCCCTACCTCGGAAGTGCAAGATCTCAAGTTCAATCCCCAGTACCAAAAAAATAAAATAAAATAAAAAATAAAAAAAATAAAAGATACATGAAGAGGAACTAATAATTTAATGCCTCTCTACTTGCATCTGTTTATCTTCTCCTAGCCAAGGAAGGAAAAATTCACTAATCTGCTTGGTTACAAGACAGAAAAGTGCCACAGTTAGCAGGACCCACTGATGTAACAGAAGCTGTGTATGCATCTGTTCTTTCTCTATGTGGTGGTTACATGGGCTCAAGGTCTAACTCCCTGGATCACATCTGGACAGTCTTGCCATAGCACACCGGTCCTCATCTATAATTACTGTGTACATGAGCACACCAGAGGTACTGCAAGTCCAAGACTCAGATTTAGATTAAGTTCAAGGGTCCTATCTGGCAATAAGCCACGTGCACTAATGTAGCTTTTCAGACAATGCTATACTAAGCCAGATAAGGATAAAGTGATGCTTTCACACTTTCTTACTGTTCCTTGTGTACATTGTATCAAAAACCCTATGTAAAGTCAAGTCAAATGGCATTCATGATTTAAATACTCACCTTTAAATTATGGGGATCTTTAATTTTACAGAGGAAACATAGCTGTATCTCCCCCACATCCCTGTACCTCAGAATCAACTAGGGCCTTACATTTGCCAGGCAGGCAAAGCACCACTGAGCTACATCTTCCCTAGCCCCATTCTAAGGTATGTACAACCAGGAAGGTATATTACAAACAGACTATCATTGAAAGCTACATAAATACACTATAAATATTTATATGGTATTTAAAGGATTAGAAAGAATATCAGTTTTCTGAAATATTGATGCGTTACACAAAATCTGGATTGAGTACAGTGGTGCTTTAGTTTACAAACAATTTGTTTTACAATTTGGGGGATGATGCTGCATTTGTGTTTGTGTGCAGAAGATGGCCGTGGTTTGTCACCTGATACAAAGTTTGCAAAGGTAAGCAAAATTCTGCTGAATACTTTCACTTGGGAACCAAACTGCAAACAGAAGAGTGTGAACTGAAGTATTATTGTAATCTTAATTTTTTTCAACTAATACTTTATTTTGTTTCCCTTAACATAAAAGATTATTCAAGGGACAGTAGGTAAGAGAGAGGTTCATTCAGAGAAGGATGGTGATCATTTTGGTACTGCAGAGAAAAGATCCTCCCTCCTTATCAAAAAATGCCTAAGAAAGAGCTCAGGAATGAATAGTGTCAGCTAACAATAAACAGTAATATTTGACAATTCCTCTGTGTCAGACTCTGCTCTGGCATGTCTCATTTGTACCTCCTATCCCCACGAGCTTGCCTATGGTCTCATTAGGACTAGCCCTCTGTACCATCATCCACCAGTAGATGACCAACCAGGGCAAGCTGTAGGATCAAGTGGCTGGGAACTCCAGATCCAAACTGCTTAAGCTCAACATTACTTCAAGATTAGTTAATATTAATGTCATTATATTGTATACCTAAAATGTACCAATAAAATGAAATCTTAAAAAAGAGAAAAAAGAACAGGGAAAAAAAAGACTAGTTAATATAAATTTAAAAAAACAAGAAATAGTAATTTTGGCTAGTTTACTGTGGTCAGTGGAGTCATTACCTCCCTAGAGACATTCTTTCACTTTGATTTCTAAAGTTTATGTCTCAAGGCTCTTGGTTTAAAAAAAAAAAACGAATAAAAACATGAGACTACAGTAGAGATTAGAGTTTTTTAAAAATTAATTTATTTTGTAGTAAGTGTCCACCAGACACAAAAAATATCACAACTCTTTAATCTAAAGCAAAATAGGTAATTCTCTGAAAACTGGAATGCATTTCAGGATAAAGTGGCCTTCAATAATAAGATACACAAAACAGGAAGGCAATCAAAAGGCAATAGAAACATAAAATTTGGAAAGACAGGTGGCATGATTTAATTTTCAAGTTCAATTACCTGCATCAATATTTGGAAACAGAACAAGGGTCCGCTTGTTAAATGAGATAAGCGCGTCCAGTGTTAATTCAAACATTTTAATGGAATGCTTAATGTCAGTGGTCACAGGGTGCTGCAGTGCAACAATGTAATCTTTACATTTTACATCATCACCTGTTTAAAGAAAGACCAAACCACATTCCTCCATTAGTTAAGAAGCTTAAAGGCAGCAGCAGCAAATTCTAAAAGCAAGACCTGTGCTTTATAAATATTCTAAGGTAAAATAGTTTGACACATTCTAAGCAAGGCATCCAAATTAGGAACAAAAAATAAGAACACAGAGTAAAAATTGAAGAAATCAGCAAACAGCTGATTTTATAAATTAATGCTACATACACAAACTATACCTTTAAATTGCAGAAACCAGAAATTCATTAAAATTCAAAATATTCCAAAACACTAAAAAATATTTCCAATTTCTAATGTTTCTAATGAATAATAAGCATACTAATTAATGATATGTTGCAAAGCAAGGAATTTAGAGCCTGAATAAGCATTAAACATATTTCATATAATACCTAGGTATTGGTTTCTCTATATCATTACCTACGAGATTAAACAAATGCCAAGCTGTTTGCAATTCTGTTCTAAGGACTGGAGAGACTTTACTCATCCCTTGGATACCAAGACATATTTAAAATGAAAAAGTTTGGATTCTCATTGCTAGGCCAACCAATACAGGACATTTATCACAGGGCCTATATTATTCCATAAAACTAAAACTGAGCTCACTCACTTCTTTTTCCCCTGCACTAGGGATCGAATCCAGTATAATACATCCCCAGCTATATTACCAGCTCCCCGCATCCCACCTTTGTTTTTGAACAGGGTCTCTCTAAGTTACTAAATTGTCTAGGCTATGCTCAAACTTGTAATCGTCCTGCCTCAGCCTCCCAGAGTGCTGGAATTACAGGCATGTGACACCATGACCAGTTACCAACTCATCTTGTTTGTTTTGAGATACTGTCTCACTATGTATTCAAGGTGGCCCTGAACTCACTGTGTAGTCTAGGATAGCCCCAAACTTGGAGCAGTCCTCCTGCCTCAGCCTCTCCAGTGCTAGGATTACAGGTATGTACCACCATGCTCAGCAACACTTATTTTTAATGAGAGTATCTTTCTCTGTGATTATCATTAACTTCCAAATTCAAACAGCAGCAGTTACTTTTTAATGATTTAATGGTAATAGAGGAATTTTACTGTTAGAATCTATAGAAGTATTTGATTTAAAATACCACTGTAGTTCCAAAATTGTATTTTGAAAATGCATGGTCTCATAGTAAGCTTCTAAAATGCAGAAAAGGAAGATATATAACTGTTAAATTTTTGTACAAGGTAAGAAAAAGACCTAAAGCCCTCAAAGAACTACTGGAAGCTGTATGGTGGCACATGCCTGTAATCCTAGCACTCTGGAGGCAGGGTCAGGAGGACCACCATGAGATCAAGGCCAGCCTGAACTGCATAGTGAGACCCTGTCTCCAAAAATCAAAATAGAATGGAAGGAAGAAAAAGAGAGAGAAAAAAAGAGAATCTATTAGAAACTTGATAAAAATGTCAAAGTTTCACAGATCAAAAGGGAACAGTCCCTCACATTAGTTAACAGATGTCTAGAAAGATAAGATCAACATAAATTCAAGTAATCTACTAGACACTGATCAGAGCCATTAAAAACAAACTGCCAGGTAGTTGTAATGGTGTATTCCTGTAGTCCTAGGTATTTGGGAGGCTGAGACAGGAGGATTGAAAATTCAAGGCAGGCATGAGTAATTTAGTGAGACCCTGTCTCAAAAAGAGCTAAAGATAAAGCTTAGTTAGTATTCAGTGGTTCACAAACTTAATTTATGATTTGTGTGGGGAAGATGTTTATGTTTATGTTTGTGTGGGGAAGATGGCTGCAGTTGTATTTGTCAACTGATGGGGAGTTTGTGAACAGAAGCAAAATTCTGTCAAACACTTTTGAATGAGAACCTAATTATTTGTGAAGAGAAGCATTCATGAACTGAGGTATTACTGTATAGCACTTGCCCAAAATAATGAAAAAGAAAAAGAAAATGAAAGGGAATTCAAAGAAAATGAAAAACTTGGGGCAAGCAGTGGCAAGGAAAGAAGTGCCTCTATTGTAAATGAAATGGAAATACTACGTATATGCAAAAATCTGACCACAAAAAATATGCTATAATGCATATTTCCATAATATGAATTAGCTCAATCATGACCAGAAAAATAGAAAAATAATGCCAGCTTTTACTGTAGTAGTTGAGTTATTCATACACAATTCTTCCAGCAGAATGAGAACACTAAGGGAAAGGTAGTCAGCAAGCTGGGGAGGAATACAGTCTCATCCCTGGGTTCTTTTACCCTACATTCTTAATCTTGGTTCTGCTTGTTCAAGTCTGGTCTTGAAAACACATACAGGGCAAGTTTCTCTCATCTATGGAATTTGTGGGGGGCAAGTTTTCTTTGAAAGTGAGGATGTTTTAGAGCTTCCATAGTCCCATACAGAAGGTTATTTATACAACTTATTGTTATAATCTACTGACAAAGAGAAAGCAAAAGATTAAGAGGGAGAAAAATTCCAGCAGTTAATCCCGTGAGTGCTTTCCATTTCTCATTTATCCTACATTAAATGTGAATAAGAAATATTTGTGGTGTATAGGAAATACCCATACAGGACAGATGCAGTGAGATTGACCTTTGCATCTCAAGTGACTTTATGAAGGGCTGGAAAAACAGCAAAAACTACATGTGGTTTTCTTTTTGTTTGTTTGTTTGTTTGTTTTTTTAACCAGTGAAAAGAAAACACAAGAGGATGAGCCAGAGCTGCCTGTTCCCCTCAGTGATACTCTGGGCAAAGTGAGCACCTGCTTCCCAACCTGCCACTTCTGGCATAATCACTCTGCCTTTGTTTCTGTAACTCAACAGCTACAGTCCTTTCAAACAACCTTTCTACTAGGGTAGCATCATTTCATGTTGCAAAGTCCTATACCTATTCTGGTGTGTCTTTGACTATTAGGAATTTAATGTATCTTTTAAAGTTTGCTAGTATTTTAGTTAGGATTGTTACATATTAATGTTCTGGTTACAAAGATGCATGGTATAAGTGACCAAGCAAGCCCTATTTTTCTATAAGTAGAATGATAATGAGTTGTTCATCAAGAAGCTTTGTATAAAATGTATTATTGTCACAGATGGCTCTGGCTCATTGTCTTTCGTTTTCTTTCTCATTGGTTTCAAAAAATAAGTCTAGTTTTTGCTATTTTATCATCCTTCTTTTCATAAAGAACTGTTTAAATGACCCCAAATAAAACTGTAAGTCCTGTAAGTACAATCTTGCTGCAGTCTGTTTCCTAATGTTTGGTACCAGGAATCAAACTCAGTGCTTTGCACTTACCAGGCAGATTCTGTGCTGCTGAGCTACATCCCAGGCCCTAGATTTACCTTCTGGAAAAAGAAGATCCTAAGTCGATAATCAGTCTTTATTTTTCCCTTACTCAGTACTCTATAATCTATTCTATAATGGTATTCTTTTTCTAAACTTGTTTTCTTTAGCTCTCTCACTAGCAAAAGCTAATATCCAGGAAGCTAGATCACTGATCACTAAAAAATTAAAGACTTCAACACTGTTAACAAAGATAACAAACTCTGATGTTACAACTATGACTTCTGTTTTTCTACAATAATCATCAAACTCATATTGATAAAAACTTAAGACTTGTTAAATGCTTTTAATATTCATTATCTCATCTGAGTATTTTGACAATATCACCAAAAAGGCATTAAAAATTAAAATAATTTTTCCACTGTAATAAAATAAAATACAGAAAAAATTAAAATATGCATAATCCCACACCAGAAATTAATGTAACAAATGACTTGATGTACATACTCTAACTTTTCCATTAATTTACCTTTTATAAAAATACACCAGGTGTGGTGACACACACCTGTAATCCCAGCACTCCGGGAGGCTGAGGTAGCAGGATTCCAAATTCAAATCTAGCCTGAGCAATTTAAAGAGACCAGAGATCCTGTCTCAAAATAAAAAGGGCTAAGGATGTAGCTCAGTGGAAAGGCCCTGGGTTTATTCCCCAGTATGCAAAAAAGGGGAGCATCATATCACACGTATAATTTTGTAAATTTGGGGGTGGTACTGGGAAATAAACTCAGGGTCTTTGTTAAGGTTTAGGTCTAGATGTCCTCCCAAAGCCTCATGTGGTTATAGGTGGGGCTTTTTCAGAGGTGGCTGGATCTACAGTGTGTGATGCCAGGATCAAAGGTGTGTGATTACTACATCACTTCCACTGATAGGTTTTGCACTGCCCTAGTCCCAGTAGCCTGGATAAAATAAAAGGGACAGAAAGAGTCTTCTCCCTTGCTTGGTTTGCTTGCTACCTTCTGTCTTCCATGAACTGTTTTTCCTCTGCAATCCCTGTCTGCCATGCAACCCTGCCTTGGAGCCAGCTGATTATGGAGTGAAACCTCTACAAACTACGAGCTAAACCTTTCCCCCATTAACTTTGAATGTTGGGTATTTTGTCCAAGCGACAAGATAAAAGAAACTGAGATAGCTTTACTTTAGCTGTAGTTGATTTTTTGTTTTGTTTTGTCTAAGACACTAAATTGCCCAGGCTGGCCTTGAACTCACAATCCTTCTGCCTCAGCCTCCCAAACTGATGAAATTACAGGTGTACATACACCACCATGTCTGGCCAGGAACTGTCCTTGTAACTAAATATTTACCTACATTATATTTAATGGATTAAAAGCATTCCATTCTAGAAATCTAGATTAGATTTATTAACAAGTTCCATCAGTAAACCTATTTTAAGAAAAGGTGAATCTCAGAGATAAACGAATACTACAGGGCAAGATATAGGAACTACATATAACCTTAACAACTTACCAATTATTTAAATACAAGATAACCAAAAATTGTATTATTTTTGTTAAGCTAATGGGAAATATAAAAATTATAATCTTACCAAATTTATTCAATACAGGAATTGACTAGTTGAAAGGACACTGGCCCAGAGGTGTTCAGGATAGTCAGTACATAAAGAAAAGCACTGCCCAAGAGAGGCTTGGGGTAAACTGTTGAGTGGTTCATTTTCTGAGTGCTGATAGAATATTCTGTTCAAGAGTTTCAAAAAGGAGTGACATACACCAAACATTTTCTGACAAAGCCTGATGTACATACCTAACCACATCCGAATGATACTCATATAGTCTTTGTTCTTGGCCGAGAGAAGTTTGTCATAGGAAGGGCAGCCTGCCAACAGGATGCGATCGTGGTCCTCACACATGCTTATCAGGTGTTGCTCTGCACTTCGGGTGCAGCACACATGATAATGAGCCAGTTTTGTTATAGCATGTCTGATGGAGTCATCAATAGTCCCACTAACTTCTCCTCCTTCAATGTGAAGGATACGAATGTTCATTAAGGCAGCAGATGTAGCCAGAGCCAGGGCATCAAACCTGTCTCCATGAACAATCATGATATCCGGCTTCAAGCGGTTGAGGACATCCGGGAGCTTCACTAGAGCCAGGCCCACTGACTCCACCATGGCTGCTTCATCCTCCCCTCTCACAATCGTGTGGAGCCTGGTGTTAATGTCAAAGTCATCTTGTTCAATCATGCGGTATGTATTTCTAGAGCAGGAGAGAAATAATGTGAGAGCATGTTCACATTCTTAACGTACAAAAAAGCATTCTAGCATTATCCATACCGCGATAATCATGTTTAAATTTTTGGCTGTTACAACAGAGTAAATAAATTGAAATATAACTTACATAAAAAATAATAGGGCAGCCGGGGATTTAGCTCAGTGGTTCTGCTGCCTGCCTCACAAGCACAAGGTCCTGAGTTCAATCCCAGGACAGGACAGGACAGGGCAGGAAAAAGGAAAAAGGAAAGGCAAAGGCAAAGGCAGTAAGTGTACTTACAGTCCAGTTAGTTTAGCCTGCCTCAAGCACAAGGTCCTGAGTTCAATCCCAGGACAGGACAGGACAGGGCAGGAAAAAGGAAAAAGGAAAGGCAAAGGCAAAGGCAGTAAGTGTACTTACAGTCCAGTTAGTTTTTCACATGCATACCATGTAGCAATCACCCAGCCTAAGATAAAACACACATCATCTCAAAAACCTCCCTTGTGCCCCTTCCAACCATAGCTGGAGGGAAAACATCTGAGGGAAAAATATTTTTAATTAGGCAGAAAATACAAATTTAAAAGTGGTCAAGACATTTTTCTTTTATTTTTTAATACATATTTTAAAAAAGAGGTGTGTTGGAGCCGGGCGTGGTGGTGCATGCCTGTAATCCCAGCACTCAGGAGGCTGAGGCAGGAGGATTGCTGTGAGTTCGAGTCCAGCCTGGGCTACACAGTAAGTTCCAGAGCAGTTTGAACTACATCGTGAGACCCTGTCTCAAAAAACCAAAAAAATAAAAAATAAAAATTAAAAATTAAAAAATAAAGAGGTATGTACTGTAAAAGAAAAAATGTTACTTATGAAAGCAAAGCTCATTTTTTTTCAGAAAAAAGAAAGAAACCAAGATGCCTGACATGTCACTGTGCTATCAATTTCTTTTTTCTTTCTTTTTTTTTTTTTTTGGTACTGGCGATTAAACTCAGGATCTTGCACTTGCAAGGCAGGCAGCAGCACCCCTGAGCTAAATCTCGGACCCCTGTGCTATCAATTTCTGAATGATGAAATTATCTTTTGAATTCTTTTTTTTTTTTGGCACTGGGGATCAAAATGAGAACCTTGCCCTTGCAAGGCAGGCATGGTACCACTGAGCTAAATCCCCTGCCCTTGAATTCTCTTTCTATAGTATCATTAATGCAGGAATAAATTCATACAGAATGAAAATGTAGCTTTCACAAAAATAAAGAAGCAGTGAAATGCAGCTTCAAGATTATTTCATGGTATAATACCAGCAACTCTCAATCCCTTAAAGTTCCTGTTATGACTAAATTTTAAAAGACGTGGTTCTTTTAGTATATGTTAATTATCTTAAAAATAGAAAATATGGAAATTATCCACTAATCTACCAATCAGCAACGATATAATTTCCCTTCATTTTATGCAAATACTTAACATAGTTGAAAACACACCATACATACAATTTCATAATCTACTTGGTCTATTTCATATTGTCTCAGATCATTAAGGAGTCTATATACATTATTCTAGTGCAGATAGCACAACTAGGGCTGTAGGACTACTTCTCCATTCACTTGAATTTGGGCCAAGCCTTCCACTGTCCTAAGAGAAGCAGAAATTAAAAATAACAAAGACCCAAGAAATCTCTAAAGCTTCAGTCTGGAGCACATGCATGTTAGATACAGTAACCTGGCCTTCAGTAACCTTTTCGCTACTCAAAATTCATTAAAGGTTCAGACATAGGGACTGAATGTTATGCACATGACGAGTGTTACGGGAAACTCATGCGCACTAGATTCCCTTGAGATCACTCAGCACCCTGTTGATCATTTCACGTCCAGAGATCCAATGAGACATGCTAGGTGGTTCTCCCATGTTTTGTTTTGTTTTGTTTTTTGAGAAAGGGTCTCACTATGTAGTTGAGACTGTCCTGGAACTCACTATGTAGGCCAGGCTGGTGTCAAACTCACAGCAATCCTCCTGCCTCAGCCTCCCAAGGGTTTTGTTTTTGTTTTTTGGTACCGAGGATTGAACTCTGGACCTTGTGCTTGTGAAGCAGGCAGTGGCCCCACTGAGCTGAATCCCCAGCCCTTGGACCCTAACTTACTTTTTTCTTCTCATTCTCCCCACTGCCCTGGCACCACTTCTTTCTGTTTATGCCACCTTTTTGTTTCTGCTGGTACAAATCTGCTAGCTCTGAGCACAACTTTCCCCATTAATTTCAAATAAATGAAGCTGCTTTTTCCTTTACCTTTGGGTGCATGCTTGCAATTCTTTGCTCGAGGAACACAAAAATCTGGAATTTATCTTTCAGGAACCCATCACACACTGTATCACACGTTTGTAGTATACTTTTGTAGATTTCTTTGGGTTTTCCTACACAAACAATGTTGCCAGGTGTGGTGGTGCACACCTGTACCCCAGCACATGGGAGCTGAGGCAAGAGGATCACCATGAACTAGCCATGGCTAGCCTGAACTACACAGACCCCATCTCAGAAAAAGAAAAAAAGATAATCATGTCTTTACTTTTTATTTCTTCCTTTATTTCATATCTGCTACAAGTTGTAGAAAAGTAAGTAGAAATCGTTCCCTCATTCCCAATCTTAGGGGGAAACCATAAATGTTATGATAGCAGTAGGATTCTCACAGATGGCCTTTATCAGATTGAGGTTTCCCTTCTAATCCAAGTTAAGAGCTTTATCATACTCATTGTCTATAATATTTTTTCTTGGTACTGGGTATTGAACCCATGTCTTTCCCATTAAGCTACATCCCTAAGCCATTCTATCTTTCAAAATTTTGAGACAGGGTCTCATTATGCCATTGCGTGGTCCAAGCTGGGTTCAAACTGGCAATCCTCCTGCCTCAGCCTTTCATGGTGTCAGGATTAAAGGCATGCACCAACATGCCTGCCGAACTGCTTAATTTTGTCAAAACTGAAATAGTCATGTATGTTTTCCCTTTTTATCAATTATATCGATACTCACATTTTAAGTCAATCCTGAATTCTTGAGATAAACTTGAAATAGGGTCTTGCTATGTAGTGTAGTCTGGCCTTGAACTCACAATGTAGTGCAGTCTGGCCTTGAACCAGCAAGCCTCCTATTTCAGCCTCCATATACTGGGACTACAGGTATGTGCCACTGCATCAGTCTCAATTTCTAATAGATATTAGGCCACTGAGATTTCCTATTTCTCTTGCATAAGTTTTTCAAGCAGTGTTTTTTTCAAGGAGTTTGTCCATTTCATCCAAATTGTCAGATTTATTGGCAGAATATTCCCCTTTTATCCCATCATTGTCAGCAGTGATATACACATTGTCATTTATACAATGGTCATTTCTGTGTTCTCTTTTTCCTTAGGTACTGTTAGAAGTTTGTCAATTTTTTTGTTTCTTAAAGAATTAACTTGCTAGGCCTGGTGGCTCATGCCTATAATCCCAGCACTTGGGAGGCTGAGGCAGGAGGATCACTGTGAGTTTGAGACCAGCCTGGGCTACACAGTGAGTTCCAGGTCAGTCTCAACTACATAGTGAGACCCTGTCGCAAAAAAAAAAAAAAAAACTTTTGGCTGTTAATTTTCTGTTTATCTATTTTTACATTGTATTGATTTGCACTCTTATTTTCCTCCCTTAAAGATTGGGTTTAATTTTCTCATCTTGTTTATTGAAATGGAAACACAGATCACTGTCTCTAAAGTTCTTTTTTGCCAGACGTGGTGGGGCATGTCTGTAATCCCAGCACATGGGAGGCTGAGGCAGGCAGTTGCTGCGAGGCCAGCCTGGACTACATAGTGAATTCAAGGCCAGCTGAACTACACAGCAAGACCCTGTCACAACAAACAAGCAAGCAAACAAGTAAACAAACAAGTTATTTTAAAAATGTTTTTCAAAGTTATTTTTTAATATAAGCATTTAAACCTACTAATTTCCCCCAAGGGCTGCTTCATCACCTTCCACAAATTTTGATATGCTATAATTTCAGTCCAAAATATTTTCTAATTTTCCTTATGACTCTGTCTTGATCTATGGGCTACTGAGAAGTATATTTAATTTCCAAATATTTTAACTTTTCTAGTTACTTTTTGTTATTGATTTCTAATTTAACGAATTTTGTGATAAGGGAATGCATTCTCTAATATTTCAGTCTTCTGAAATTTACTGAGCCTCGGCCCATGACATGCTCTATCTTGGTAATATTCATACACATCTGAAAAGAACATGTATTTTGCAACAATTGGATACACCTATTTTTAAGTGTCATTTAGGCTAAGGTGATAAGCTATTTTGCTCCAGGTTTTTGTATCCTTAGGGATTTTCTAGTTATATCAGTTCCTAAGAAAAGTTAAAATCTTCATCTCTAATTGCAGGTTTGTCTGATGCATGTTACTAGATGCATATGGATTGTTACAGTTTCCTAAAGAATTGTTCTTTTATCACTTTAATATTTGTATATATTTTTATAAACTTTAAGACAGTGCCTTACTAAGTTGCTAATTTACTTAGCCTAGGCTTGAACTTGCAACCTCCTGCCTCAGCCTCCTAGAGTGCTGGGATTATACAGGCATGTGCCATACCTGGCTACAAATAAATCTTTAGACATTTAAGATGAAAAGGTATTCTTTTATGTTTACCTATATTTTACTATTTCTAGCTACTCCTTATTGTAAATCTAAGTTTATACCATTTTTCTTCAGTCTTAACTTGCCTTAGCATTTTTTTTTTGTAGTTCATACTTGATAGTGAGTTTGCTCAGCTTTTATCTGAAAAAATATTTTCATCTTTTTTTTTGTACTGGAGATCGAATTTAGGACCTTGCACTTTGGAGGCACCACTGAGCTAAATCCATGGCCCTTCACTTCATCTTCTGTATTTTTTTTTTTTTTTTTTTTTTTTTGATACATTTTAGGCATACAGTACAGTTACATTCATCATTGCGATCTTGTACCTTTACATGACAGGTCTTGGTTCTCACTTTGGTTTGGTTTTTT